TGAGCGCGTCATCCTGCGGGCCGAGATATACGTGGACCAGGCGCGGCGCATTGCGACCGGTGGACCAGACTTCCTGCTTCGTGAAGATGCGGGAGCCTTACGACGGGCGTCGATGCAAATGGCGTTCATCGAAGAAGACAAAATTTCTCTATTCAAACATAAACTTTTGGCGCTCCGCGCGGATTTCCTGGGTCCGCGCTGGGCACCCCCTGGCGGCGCCTCCTGCGTCGGCCCGGGCGCGCTCCGCGCGCCAGGGAGGGGGGTCCGGCGCGGAGCCAAGAAACCCGCACAGAGCGCCAAACGTTTACAGTCGGGGCACTGAAGAAGGAACTCTTTTCGTTGGGGAGGGGCTCCGCGTTCCTTAAGTGTTTCACAGTTTGCCTCAGGTGTTCCTAATGTTTCCGATGGGGAGTCGAAGTTTAACTTATGGGAAAGGAGGGGTCTCGTTCCTTATTTAGGGTTCCTTAGGTCAACGCCCCGACTGTATGCAGTGTATTGTTTTCCGATTGAGGCGGGAGTCGATGTAAACAGGGTTCAGCCAGAGCGCCAGATCTTGCGGGATCCTGCAGAGCCAGGGGTGCACTGACTCAGGTTTGCGCGCAGGTGCGTGCAGGGTCCTGCAGGATCTCGCGGGATCCTGCAAAATCCCGTCGTCGGTACGGGATTTCTAGGGCTCCAGGGTTCACGCGAACAAGAGCAACGACGGATGAAATTCGGAGCCCTTCTGAATCCCGAGGCGGTCCCACAGCGGTCCGTCCAGCGAGGTTTCGGGGCTCCGCGCGTCACTGGGCCGTCTGGTCTTCTTTGCTCAGCGCGTCCTCTTACTCTCGCCATCGTCCTCTTCCACCCCGTCCCGTTCCCCCTCCCTTAGCCACGCGCAGAGGGGGGTGGGGGGAGGGGGGAGGGCTTCTCAGAAGCACCCCTGCTTCTTAGAAGGCGCGGGCCTTATCTATAGACGTATGGCTATGGCTGGCGCCTTCTAAGAAGCAGCCTGCTTCTACGAAGCCCTCCCCCCCTCCCCCCACCCCCCGCTGCGCGCCGCCAACTCCCCTGCGCCAAGAGGCTCGCCCTTGCGCGTCGCTGCCTGGGCCACGGGGCCCCCCTTCTCCGCTGTGGGCGGCGCGGGAGGCCCCCCCCCCGGCGGCCCGGGGAGGCCTCCGGAGGGGTCCTCTGCGGCGGGTCTCGGGAGGCACAGGGCAGGTGCGAAGGGTGTGCACAATTCTTGGCGCGGTCATCTATGCGGGACGGGAAAGTGACCACAGCCGCTGCTCCTTGTGTGCGCCGCCTTCGAGCCGGCCGAAAAAGAAGCAGTGGTTGTGGTCATTTCCCTGGTGCCAAGCTTAACGAAGATGACCACAACCACTGGCTTGTTTGTGCTGGCTGGAAGGCGGCAACAAAAGAAAAGCAGTGGCTGTGGTCGTTTTCACGCCCCGTAATCTAACCTCCTTCGATCGAAGAAGACAAATGGGTATAAACATGTTTAGATTTCGACGCGCCGTGGCGCCCCAGGACCTGCGCCGTGGCGCCCCTGGCGGCGCTTCCTGCGACGCCACTGGCGCGCTCCGCGCGCCAGGGAGGGGAGTCTGGCGCGGATCCAAGCAACCCGCGTGGAGCTTCGAAAGCGTACGTTCCTGCCGTCTTTTGCTCCTCTAAGCATGCGGCCTCATACTCGATCCTCTGGCGCTGGATGCCCGCCTGCCTTGAGGCGTGCTTGATATCGCGAGTCCCCCGGCAGCAGGCGGGGACGGCGGGTAGTCCATGCCGGGGTCATAGTGACCCTCGTCGGCTGCACAGTCCTGCATCTGGTTGTGCAGGGCGCGGGAGAGGAAGAGGAGGTGAGCCTGCACCTCATCCAGGCGCCCGCCCCTCGTCCGTCGAACCTCCTGGGCCCCCCCAGGAGCACCCGGGCGATCATACCCCCGTCCTCCTCCTCAAGGTTGGTGCTGGGTCGCAGTCCTTTCCGCATCGATCGAGATGTTATTAGATGTATGCTCGTACGTGTGGGCTTCAGGATTTCTCCGGAGAAGCTCTGAGACCTCTCGTTCCTGGAATTCCAGAGACCTCGGGACTGCGTTGTGAACAGGTCGCGACGGCTAGAGAAATGGAAGGGAGATGAGCGGAGGGAGGGAGGAGGAGACAGAGGAAGTGGAGGAAGATACTGAGAAAGAGGGAGGAGGGAGGAGGGAGGAGGGGGAGGAAGAGAAGGAAGGTGGGAGAGGAGGAGGAATAATCAGGAGTCTGAGGAGGAAGGAGGAGACAGGGGAGGAGGGAGGAGGAGCAGGGAGGAGGAGGAGGAAGAGGAGGAGGTGAACACTGCGGAAAGACTGCGTAGGTGAAGGATGAGTTTGATGAGGAGGCAACTAGGAGGGAGGCAGGAGGGAGGAGGAGGAGATGGAGGAGGAGACGGATGATGATGATAATAATGATGATGATGATGATGATGATGATGATGATGAGGAGGGGAGGAGGAGGAGGAGGAGGAGGAGGAGGAGGGAGGAGGACGAGGAGGAGGAGGAGGGGAGGAGGGAGGAGGAGGAGGAGGAGGGAGGAGGAGGCGGAGGAGGAGGAGGAGGAGGAGGAGGAGGAGGAGTGAGTCGCGCTGTTCGCTCCTTCATCCCCCCGCCTTCCCTCGCGGCCGCCGCCGCCGCCCGGAGGGATGGGGCCCCGACGCTGCGAGGAGGCTCCCGAGCTGTGCCTTCGACCGCTTGGGGCCATTCGTCGTTGAGGAGGAGGAGGGGGAGGAGGAGGAGGAGGGATGAGGAGGAGGGATGAAATGGAGGAGGAGAAGGAGGAGGAGGAGGAGTATGAGGAGAAGAAACAGGAGTAGAAGGAACAGGAGTGGGAGGAGGAGGAGGACGAGGACCAGACTGATGACGAGGAGGGTTCCTGCCATCTTCCGTGTCGCCTGCTACCGCCCCCCTCCAATCTTTATAATTCGATTTCACGTGTTAGCGGCGTCAGTGTACACCTCGAATCCATGCCCTCGCGGTCTCGCATTCCGGGACGCGATCCCGTGGATACGCGGTCGCATGGATTCATTCGCCATGAAGGGAACGGGTCTTGAGAGAAGCGGGTCCTGAATTTTTGTGGCCATTATCGGGCTTTTGAGGCCCTCCACGGGCCTTGAACTGTCAGAAAATGACTCAGGACGAAGATCTCGTTCTGGGGGAAGGCCCTGGGATCCAGGATCCGTTTCCCTCAGGACCCGTTTCCCTCAATATGGATACGTTCCGCGGAGGGCATCAGCGAACCAACAGGTGCCGTATCCATGGGGTCGCGGCCCAGGGACCCAGCCCGCGAGGCCGTGGGTCTAGCTGCATACGCTTCTTGCCCACGATACCCGCTCCTCCAAACTCCGCTCGGAATCTATGGATAAATCGCCAGGGAGTGCCGCCGATGGTTTCGGCTGCCCCCCCTTCGACGTCCACTCTCCCCGCCCTCCCCTTTCGTTTGTGTTGACCCCCTTTAGTAGTCTCACGGTTCCGATGCGTGTTTGTAGTTGTGTTCACGGGCGTGTCGGACGCAGTTCTTGGGAGGTCAAATTGTGATTTTGCTTTGGTCCGAAACCCGATGCAGTCCGGTTGAGTCCCGCTTTATCTGGTCTCATCCCGCTCAATCCGGCTAAATCCCGCCGAATGCGATGCCCAAGCTGGCGTAAGAGCCCTGCAGTGAGGTTCGATATTTCACAAGCCTTCCGACGAACAAGCCCAAGGAGGGAAACAAAAACACGCAAACACAATTAATCGTCGATTCCCCAGCAAATACAGGAACATATGGGAAGTGTGGGGGGGAAGACAACCCAGAACATATAGGAAAATATGGGGAATAGTTTTATTTGTGTGTATTTATTTCTGTGTCCTGGGGCCCCTTCAAAGCCTCCCAGCAGTTCCCTCCGAAACGCGCGCCGGGTCCAGGAGGCCCTGGCGCCACGGCGCCACGCACTTGGCCTCACGCCTGCCCGGACAACGGTCCTCCGAGGTGGTTCGCTCGTTCGTCCCCCCTTCTCCCCTCGCGGCCGCCGCCGCCCGGACAACCGTCCGCCGAAGGAGGAGGAGGCGGGGGAGGAGGACGAGGAGGAGGAGGCGGAGGCGGAGGAGGAGGAGGATGAGGACGAGGAGGAGGAGGATTGACGCCACAGCTTGACGCTCAGGTTGGTCTAACCCCAAAAGGAGGAGGAGGAGGAGGAGGAGGAGGAGGAGGAGGAGGAGGAGGAGGAGGAGGAGGAGGAGAGGGACGGAGGAGACGGAGGAGGAGGAGGAGGAGGATTGTTTTTTGGACATCAACGCGCACACGCCTCAAGTGCTGCCTCCGAGAGCGAGAAAACTCAGAAGAAGAGGCACACCGCGTACAGCAACAGGGGGAGGTACTGCACGCACACGACGCGGTTCAAAGCATATTTAGCCGAGCCCGATACCACAGAAATTCTGTCCCGATCCATGCGGCAGCCTCATACAGCACTGAGCGAACACAACTGAAAGTGCCAGGAAGCCCCGTATATGATGGAAAGAAAACGATGGTGCCAAGGAAGAACACGCAATGCCAGAAAAGGCAACATATCCCAGAAGCACGCCGTGGCCTTTTATATCCAGCTGGGGGCAGGCTGTACACTGAAAAGGCGGTCCTCTCCAGGATCGTGAGGGAGATGCACGGGAATCTAAGCGCAGGCAGATACCTCACCTGGCATCGCTCGGACGTGTGCATTTTTTCTCGGCGAGAACCATCGAGGAGCATCCTTGATCATTTGGCGAAAAACCAAGCACAATACCGAACAAAAACATAGGGAAGGGACGTTCGAGCGATGGCCAGTGAGGGAGATGCGCAGGAATCTAAGCGCAGGCAGATACCTCAGGAGCTCCCTCGCCGCCAGTCGGTCCAGACGACGGAGCAGTCGCCGCACCTCCTGCGCGTGGAGCGCCTTGAACACCGTCGAGCGGCTTGCTCCTCCTCCTCCTCCTCCTCCTCCTCCTCCTCTAACGCCTCCTCCTCCTCCTCCTCCTCCTCCTCCTCCTCCTCCTCCCTCCTCCAACGCCAGACCACGCCACCAGCTGCTTTTCCACGAACGCCAGAGCTCGGCTTCGACGGTGCTGGCGCCCACCCCATCGTCATGAGCAGCATCCGTGTCGGCCCCGAGGGTGGCGACGGCATCCGCCGAAGGAGCACGCGAGGCAATTCTGGCAGCCACGGCCACCGAATCGCCTGCAGCATCAGAGGGCAAGGGGACCCAGACCCAGCGCCGGGCACGAAAGGGGAAGCATCAGTCAGGAGGGGAAAGAAACACACAGACACAATTCATCCTCGATTCCCCAGAACATATGGGAACATATGGGAAGTGGGGGGGGGAAGACAGAAACCCCGGAGATATAGGAAAATATGGGGAATCTTTTTTTGTTTGTGTGTATTCATTGGTGTGCCCGGGGGCCCCTTCGATCAGCGCGCAGGCACTGCTCTTTCACAGCCACGCGGCAAGGAAGAGAACACCACGCAGGGCCACGGCGTGCAGCCCAGCCCTTCACACCGCCGAGGCCGACCGCCCTGCCCAGCGTGGGCCCCAGGCCGGGCACGCCTGCAGCGAGCGATACGGGGCCCCCGCAGGCGGCCGATGCGCGGCACGGAGGGCACACTGGCGCTCCACACTGCGTATGCCAGGCTTTCGCGAGCCTTCGAAGGGGGTAGGGGGCCACTTGCGAACCCTACCCCTGCCCCCCACGAGTTCTGAGGGTGGAGGGGGAGGTTCACCTTCTTCGGGAGCTCCCGAGCGAAGGGAACCCCACCCTCCCCCTCAGAACTCGTGGGGGGTAGGGGTAGGGTTCGCCAGTGGCCCCCTATAGAGGGCCTGCGAGGCGGGCCGAGCGATGACCTCCACCCCCGCCGTTCTCCGCCGGGACGGCCGCGCGGGGAGGCGCCGCGACCAGGGCCCGCGAGGCCGCTGCAGCTCCACGTCGGGCCGCCGAGAGCTGCGCGCTGAGCCTCACGGTGAGGTTGTCTGCGGAAGCCCGGGCTCCTCCTCCTCCCCCTCCTCCTCCTCCTCCTCCTCCTCCTCTCCTCCCCCTCCCCTCTCCTCCTCCTCCTCCTCCTCCTCCTCCTCCTCCCCTCCTCCTCCTCCTCCCCTCCTCCTGTCCTCTCCTCCTCCCCTCCTCCTCCTTCCTCCCTCCTCCTCCTCCTCCTCCTCCTCCTCCTCCTCCTCCTCCTCCTCCTCCTCCTCCTCCTCCTCCTCCTCCTCCTCCTCCTCCTCCCCCTCCTCCTCCAGCGTGACCCCGCAGGACGATGCGCCCCGCGTCCGAGGCGCCTCCCGCAGTCATCCCCTGGCGGGCCACCTCCAGAAACTGCAACTCCGGAGGCCCATGACGAGCCGATTTGAGCCCCGGGGGCGCGGAGGAAGAGGAGGCGGCGGAGGAGGAGGAGGAGGAGGAGGAGGAGGAGGAGGAGGAGGCGGAGGCGGAGGAGGAGGAGACAGACAGACCGACATGCTCACGGAATCCCTCGTCAGCTTGGCCTCGAAGCACACAACACATTGCAAGCTTGGGTTCTGAGGGGCGAGTCAGTTCGCCGTTTGAAGAGCGTGGGAGCGAGCCGTGCACGCGCCGTGGCACGGGCATGCCGATCGGGGAGGGGTGACGCCAACACGGTGGAGCCACACGGGCCAGGACCCACCTTGCTGGCTTCCCCTCCCCACGATCGGGCGCCGCTGCCTGATGCACCGCCCCGAGAAGAGGCAATCCCCCCGACAGAGGCATTTGGCCTCGAGCGGGGCCGAGGGGGCTGGGAACTACCTCTCCCACGGGAACCCCGACCGCGCCCACGAGGCGCCTGTCTGGGAAGAGCAATCGTCGGAACAGACGTCGGACGGGGGGGTCTAGGCGGGATATGGCCAGCAGCCTGTAAAGCCCTAAATCGCTCGCTCGAAGACCAATCAAACCCCGTCGACAACGAAAAAAAATCATCCGAGCCGCAGGCACATCCGTTTCACTCACCGTGTTCCTTACCTGGAGTCTCGTCTGCCCAGGCCCTCGATACTCAGTCTGGTCACTTCCGCCATTCAACCCATCATCAACTCTGTCCATCCTCACATGTCGTTGATCAGCTTCGAGAGCTGCCGATGGAGTGGGCCTGGCGGAGCCGCCCCCGCCTTGTACACCGCCTTCATGTCCAGCATCGCCTCTCCAAGGAGAGCCGCTAGCTTGGGCCCGTCAGCGTGAGTGACCTCGACTGCGTACATGAAATGACCTTTGTCCGAGCCCGTCGTCACCTGCTGCAACTGCGACTGGTCGTCCTTGCCCTTGCCCTTGTCCTTGCCGCCCTCGGTGGGCTTCCCCTTGTAGGCCTTCCACCGAGAGTACGGAGCCAGCGCCGCGATCTGCTGCGGGGAGAAGGTCACACTCACATCCTTCCACATGCTGGAGAAGCCGTCCGTCAGCCCCTTCTTGCTGAGGTTCCCGCCCGTGCCCCACCTTTTTCACCGATGCCGCGAGCGCCGCCACGTGCGGGGGGGCCCTGCTCTCGACGTCGACCCGTTCCCCTGCCGTTACCTTCTCGCGCAGCACCGTGGACTGGGCGTTGTACGCCCTGCCCGTGGCCTCTCGTTGCTCGGACGGGCCGCCTTGCTTCACCTCGAGCTGTCTGAACACGACGGCGGCCAGGTCCTGGATCTCGCGGGAATCCGCCAACGCGAGGCGCCCCATCGTCCCCACCGTCTCTCGCAAGCTCTTGCTGCCGCCGCCGTTGTCGTCGTCGTGGCGGCCCTTCTTCTGCAGCGGCGGGGCCGCGGTCATCTCCGCGTCCGTCGGGAGCGCCAGCCACGCTGGTGCACCCTCCAGGGCCATGCTGCTGCTGGCGCCGACGGTCCGACTGAGGACGATGAGGCAATACCTCTCGAGGAAGATGCTGAACCAGATGGCTACAGAGGTGATCCAAATCAGCATGATCGGCCCCGCATATTCGGCACTGAAGTGTATCCGGAGGTATGAGAGCGTGGAACTTCCGAGCCCCATCAGGAATACAGTAGCCCCGAACGAGAGACCGAGCTAGGTGACGGCCAGCCACCACTTTGGCAAACCACTTGCTTATTCGTAGGAGATAATACGTGTCCCGCATTCCGAGCATGGTGTTTAGCACGAAGGTGGTTGAGAAGATCACGTTTTGTGGGGAATATTGCCTCTCAAGTTACACCACCTTCTTCCACCCATTTGCATTTCCCTTCCCGAGTGGCCTCTGGGGCTTGTGGAACAGGAACCTCAGAGGGCTGGTAACCTGGAGGAGGCACTTGGGCGTGAACCTGGGCCGATCGGATCACGGAGAAATCAATCTTGATAACGTCGGGCGCCAATTGGGGGTCCACGAATTTGCAGGGGAACTCCGAGAGCTCTTCCATGACCAGGGCCTCATCGTCCCCAGACCCCCCCAGGCCCTCCAAGATAGCCTGGAAGAGACCCCCCCCCGAAATGAGACCCCCTCTCTTTATTACGAAATCTGGAGTACCTTCACCGAACAAGACTCGTGGTTGTTGCTTGCCTTCAGTTGTTCGTTGCTACGGGCTGCTTCCAGGACTTCAGGCGCTGCGCAGATCCTATACCCATGCTCGTCAGCAGTAAGCACGCTTTCTGAACACCGCAGGATGCTATATGAGATGGCACATGCGGTGAAGGAGTGGGATGCCTTGAAGCTTGATTGCGGTGGGGGAGGTGTGTCGGGTGCGACCTTTGCAGGTTTGGGGCTACCTTTTAAACCTTGGGTAGCGGCCGCAGAATCGCACATTGCTCTCTGTGAGCATTCCATGTAATCTTTATTGCAGCATGAGCAGTTCGCAATGACTGCCATACTGTAGCCTGTATCATCAGGCCACTTTGCAGACTCCCGTATCTGACAAATATGATTGTGCAGTTTATTATCCCAGCTGACAATGCACTGGCTACAGTTAGATGCCATTTCGGCACGTCTGTAGGGGAATGACCTGTCATTCCCATTGTGGACTACTGACCGCGCAGTACAGCAATCTTCAGCAAGACTAGTTCATACCTCTGGTCAGGCACAGGCTGCGCAGTTGTTATGAGAGGCTACATCTTCTGAAGAAGACCGCCGGCCTACGTCGCGGCAGCCCCAACCATTTGGCCCCCGAGCGCCGTTTTTTTTCCTTCGCACCAGTGCCTCAATTGCCACAACAAAAACGGTACCATTTCGTTTACCATACTATCTTGTTTCTCGTTCTACAGCGGAGGGCACGAGAGCAAATTGCCCACGTGCCCACTTGTGTAACCACTCACTTTCCATTCTTGCCCACGCAGCACGCACCCCAAATATGATATTTTCTCTTCATCGCTTCATGTTTCGTACTGCCTGTGTTACTCTAAGGTACATGCTGGGGCTATGCTTGCCTGCGCGCATGCAGTTCCTTGCGTATCACTCATTGCTTTACCAACCGAGGCGGCGCCACCAATTCAACTAAGTGCTTGATCTTTGATCCATCTTATTACTGGGGGTTCTGTTCACTGAGGTGTGCTCCGACCTCGAGAATCTGCCGGGCGCCTGCACTGTTGTCTTTTTCATTCCTTGTTTTTTCCACCCTCTCTCTCTCTCTTCGTTCATTTCCCGCGGCGCCCGCCATGTGTCTTTCGAGCCGAGTCGTTTCCCTACAGCCTCCGTGCCTTTATCGCCAAGTATCATTAACGCCACGGTGCGACGCTAAGGTTCGTCGACCGTACAAACTAGAAGGAGGAGAAGGGGGAGGAGGAGGAGAGGAGGAGGAGGAGGAGGAGGAGGAGGAGGCGGGATGGAGGGATGGAGGGATGGAGGAGGGAGGGAGGGAGGCGGAGGAGGGCCCCAGCTTGGAAGAAAAGCCGCCGGCCCCGCTCGCCCGGCGGGGCCGCGGTGCCGCCGGGCCCCCCCGGAGAGGGCGCGCTCTTCCTGGTGGGCGCGGGGCTGTGCCCCCACCAGGCCATGGTCCTCTCCTCCATGCTGCGGCACGGCCGGCTCGAGGCGCCGCCGCCGCCGGCCAACGGCGTCGGCGTCGGCTTTGCGGCAGACGGCGGGCGAGACGCACGGTGTTCGGCGAGGGCCGAGGAGGGCGGCGGCCAGGCGGCGGCAGGCGGCGGCGGCGGCGCTGCAGGCTGCGGCGGCGGCGGCGAAGGGAGGGAAGGGGTGAGGGGGGGGCAGAAAAGGGAGGCAAAGGTGGAGCTGCAGCACAGGAGGAGGAGGAGGAAGAGGAGGAGGAGGAGTATCAGGAGGAAGGAGGGGGGAGCAGCAGGAGATGGAGATTGGGAGGCGGCGGCGGCGGCGAGAGGGTAACGGGCCGAAGCTCGAACTGAACGAGCCTGAACACTCTCCGATAGTTTTCGGAGACGTGCGACTTACCGTGCGCGGTATCATTCTGCGAGCAGTGCCTCCACGGCAGGAGCCCCGAGTCGTCCTCGCTCACCAAGGTTACGACAAGGATAACAAACACAAAGTTGACTCCCAAGGGCCATCTAAATCAGAGTGGCGATTCTAGTGAAGTGTGGGAAGCTCCTGTGGCGAGGCTGCTGAGGAGGATGAGGAGGGGGAGGCCAAGGAGGAGGAGGAGGAGGAGGAGGAGGAGGAGGAGGAGGAGGAGGAGGGGGAGCGGGGAGCGGGGAGCGGTGGCAGCGGTATCGGCACTTGTTGGTTTCCCCAGTTTGGACGCGCGGCGTGGCGCTGAGGTGCGCCGCCGAGGTTTGCCACCGCCATGGGTGGGGCTGCCAGTGCTGCACAACGCAGGGGTCCACGCGGACGCTGGCGCACACCCGCACGCTAAGCACGTCTGCGTGGAGCTCTGCCGTGGGTAGACGTTGCGTGCGTCCACGCGCACGGGCGTAAGGCCGAGAAGCAGCACGACGGAGCCGCCGCGTCGCCATCGACGGCAGCTCTCCCTCGGGCACCGATCGGCTTGGGTCAGAGCGCGCAGGCCTAGAGGTGGTGACAGCCACAGCTGCTGAGGATGGTGATGCTGGTGTCGACGGTCGAAACGATAAAATCATGGTACCCATGGTATGGTAATGAGCGTGCTCATGATAGTAACAACGATGGGGATGGGGACGGTGGCGATGATGATGACGACGACAACAAGCACGACGACGACGATTACGATGACGACGACGATGACGATGCTGCTGATGATGATGATGATGATGATGATGATGATGATGATGATGATGATGATGGTGATGGGGATGGTGATGATGATGATGATGATGGTGATGATGGTGATGATGGTGACGGTGATGATGGTGATGATGGTGATGGTGGTGATGGCGATTATGATGATGGTTATGATGCTAATGTTAATAATAGTGGTGCTGATGATGTTGATGTTGACGATGGCACTGATGATGATGCTGATATTGATGGTGGTGGTCATGGGTCATGGTGATGATGGTGATGATGATGTCGATGCTGATGAAACGTGCTACTGTGGGTGTTGGTGGTGGTGGTGATGATGACGATGATGCTGATGATGATGATGATGATGATGATGATGATGATGATGATGATGATGATGAAAGGGGTGGCGATGCTGATTAGGATGACGATGACGATGACGATGATGATGATGATGATGATGATGATGATGCTGATGATTAAGATGATGCTGCTGCTGATGCTGATGCTGATGCTGATGCTGATGCTGACGTTGCTGATGATGCTGATGATGCTGCTGCTGATGATGATGCTGATGGTGGTAGTGGTGGTGGTGGTGACGATGGCGGTGATGGTGGGGATGATGGTGATGGTGGTGGTGACGACGGTGGTGGCGGTGACGATGTTGATGTGGATGTTGATGCTGCGACGACGTATATGATACTTACGATGGCGGCGGTGACGAACATGATGATGTGGTCGTAGGAAGGGGAAGCCGGCTTCATCCTCGCCCAGAGGTGCATGAGGTGGGATATTATCTATGGGCAGACGCCTCTTCCGCCGTCCCCCGCTTCTCCCCCCTCCTCCCCCGATCCCCCCCTTGCTAGGACCAGGCGTGTTGCATAAAACGACGAGCCAAGGCATGCCTGAAGTTTGGTGCACATCTGAGGCACCTCCAACTGCTGCCACGCGTGGGCACCCGGGGTGCCCGCGCTTCGGTCGGCCTGGCTGCATCGCAGTCTGCCTCGTTTGATTCGTTCGGTCGTGCCGCTGCTGCCGCGTCGCTGTGACCTTCCAGGTTTCCTGCGGCCCGTGGACGGCCATCTGGCGCGGCGTCTGGGGAGGGGGGAGGGCCTGCTCAGGCGGGGAGGCATCGACGCCCACTCGCCAACCCAGCGCCGCCGGGGGGGGTCCCGAGGCCCCGCCCGGCCCGGGAGCGCGCGGGGATTTGCCATCGCGCACGCAACCATTGGACCGCAGCTCGGCGGCGCGCCGGGGGGGGGGGGAAGGCGAGAGGGCAGGGGCCCCTCTTCGGGCGAAGAGAACCATCTGCACACGCACGGATCCCGGCAACGCCCATCCTTGAGCCAGGACCGGTGCATGTGCCTTCCTGGCCACAGTCAGAGGGCGTGTGCACCGAGGCTGGGCTCAGGAGGGAGGCTGGGCTCAGGAGGGTCCTGGCCAGAGTCGGTGTATGCGCACAGTTCTCTTTCCTCTGCCTCTCCGCAGGCGGTCGGGCGAAGGCTCCGAGGCCTGGGCTCCTCCCGAGGAGCGCGCTGCCGCGCTGCCGGGCGGAGCTCGGAGCGCTCGGGGCGGAGGGCGCGGGGCGCCGTGAGCCCTCCGAGCAGGCCCGCCCCTCGCTCGCGTGTCCCCCCCCCCCCGGGGCTCGACACCGACCTGCATCGGGGCGCAATGCTTTTGTCCATACCCACTGCAGTACATTGGTAGTCCCCAAACGTGGTGGTGACAACACCTGGCGGTGAGTCTCGGGCGATTTGGTGTCACCACCCGGTTTGGGGACTCGTGCGGTTTTCCGAGGATGTCCCGGACACTGGTGGGTCCGGGAGTCACAAAACCCGGTGGTGACCCCGCGTCCCCAAACCCAGCGGTGACCTTTTTGGGGATTCCAGGTCGCCACCTGGTATCTCACCACCTGGTTTGGGGGTTCCCAAAGTACAGTGGGGGCGCGCATCAAGAAACCATATGCTTTTCGTCGTCAGGGTATCCTGGGTTTCTTCGCTCCGCGCGCTGCGCGGCGACTTCCCGCGGCCGTTGAAGGAGCTGCTGCGTTCAGGGTGCTCTGGGAGTCGCCTCGGGTGCACCCTGCGTGCGGGTTTTGAGGGTTGCGTTTCTTGCGAGGGTTCCTTGCGGCCACGCCCGCACTGTAGGGAGCTTCGGGCCCCCTTCTCCAGGAACCCGAGGCGCACTGGATGTGGATAAACTTGCCCCCCCTGGAGGCTCGATGTTTATCCATAGCTTTGGATGCAACTCCTGGGAGGGAGGTCGAATTCTGAGTGTGCCCTGGTCCGAAATCCAGCTCGACCCGACTTAGTCACGCTCAATCCGGCCTAATCCCGCTGAATCCCGCTTAATCCGATCCAAGACGCACTGGGTATGGATATGACTATTTTCCGCAACATCGGGGCGCAAGAGGCGGGTGTCAGTACAAACGAGGGTCAGTCAAAGCGCTGGGTCCTGCAGGATCCTGTAGAGCCCGGGCTTGGGTGCAGGATCCTTCTGGATTGCGCAGGATCCTGCCAAGCTTGACTGACTCGGGTCTGGATCACTACAGTGGAAACCCGTGCCAAGAAGCACTTTGCTTGCCTCCAAGGTGTCCTGGGTCTCTTAGGTCCCGATGGTTCTCTGCGATGGAGCACGTGACATCTCCATACCACAAATCATCAGGAGGGGAAAAAACACACAGACACAATTAATCGTCGATTCCAGAACATATGGGAAAATATGGGGAATATTTTTATTTGTGTGTATTTATTTGTTGTGTCCTGGGGCCCCTTCAAATCAATGGACCCCCTGGGGTCTCAGGGTCGGGCTTCTTGCGGACGGTTCCTTGTGGTCGAGCTCCCACTGCACCGTCAGCCCGCATAGTGAGGATGGGCAGCCTTCCCAAGGGTACCCTTGCATCCTTGCCTCCGCGGCCCATCCCTGGCCACTCGTTGGCCGCGCCCCGCTCGCAGGGTGTCGACATGGCCTCCCAAGGCCCTTGCATCCTGATCGTGCGTCCTTCTGACACGGAGTTCCTTAGAGAGTTTCGGTTTCAAGCGGCGCCCTGATTGAGGGGATGACCGCGGAAATCCCGTTCTCAGTCCGTCGGGGAGCGGGCTTTTTTACCCGTTTCAGGGACCACGCGTTGGGGCGTGACAACGAGGCGATTGCGAGTAGAGCTGAGTGTCTAGATTTCTTTTCACTGGCAGGCAAGGTCAACCATCGTGAAACAGCCCTTTCCCCCGATTCGATTCGATGGGATTTCGGTTGATTCCGATCCGATTTGTTCCGATCTCTCACCGGACGCATACAAGCCTGCCGATTTTGGTCGATCCGTTTTTTTCCGACTCGGCTGCCGATGTTTCGCCGATTCGAGTCGTTTCGCTCGCCGATCCGACTTGTCGATCCGATTCTGGGCTCCCCCTCCCCCTCCCCCCATGCAGTCGAGTCGCGAAGTTGAGGATGAGCCACACTCCAAGGCTCCTACGGCCCGTCCGTGCCGACTCTCGCTGGCCAGCCCCGCTCGAAGACACCGTGGCCCTCCACGGCCCTGGCACCCTTACCACGCATCCCTGATGTGCGTCTGGACTGACGCTCCCCTCGGGAATATCAATAACCATAATAATAGAAATAACAATTAATGGTCATACTCCGAAGAAGAAGACGAATGATAATACTATTAATGATAACGGTAGTAATAGTAAGAGGAGGAGCAGGAGGAGGAGGAGGAGGAGGAGGAGGAGGAGCGAGGAACGAGGAGCGAGGAGCGAGGATCGAGGAGGAGGAGGAGGAGGAGGAGGAGGAGGAGGAGGAGGAGGAGTCTCGAGAGCCTGCGCTCTGGGTCGCTGCGCGCCGCCAACATTCCGAGAGAGGCCTGCAGGCAGCTCTCTTCTCCGCACACTGGCGCGCCGC